CGAGCAGGGAGCCCGATGCGGGACTCGATCCAGGGACTCCAGGATCATGACCTGAGCCGAAGGCAGTTGCTTAACCAACTGAGCCACCCAGGCGCCCAACCAAACCTTATTTTTATATTGATGAATGTATTTCCAAATTTATATATCTTGCTGGTTATTTCAGTGGAGATGCGCATGAAAGAGAATAGAGGAATAGGGCTACCATCCCAACCAGTAGGTCTGTTTATGGCTTTAAAGCTTACTTTATGGACTTTTGGTGACTGTTTATTTTTGTTTAGTTGAGTTTGGCTGTAGGAAGAGGCAAGTTGTACCATTACTTACTTTATTATCCTCTCGGACAGCCTGAATTTCAAAGTATCAGCGAATAGCAAATAGTACCTCTCTCCAGAGAATACCAGTACAATCTTGTTGTTTAATGATGAAGCAGCTGGATAACTTTGTTCTAGTCACAGTTGGGCACCTCAAGTAACTGTCCACTACTATGTTTCAGAGTATGGTGTCCAGTGGAATAACATCCTGTCACCAGTGAATCCAGATGATGACCTTAGTTTTGCTCATATTATGGGAATGCTTTTATTTGATGCTTTCTTGTTTGGCCTTATGACCTGGTATATAGATGCTGTCTTTCCAGGGAAGCATGGTGTGCCCAAGCCATGGTATTTCTTTGTGCAGGTAAGTTCTAATGATTCTATTATTGAGAGAAGCCCCAGTTCTTTTGTATTTAGTTTGTCAAACAGTGAACATTATTACCGTGAACACCTTCCCTGTGGTGCTCCTATCTTCTGATACTAATACAGTTTTTATTCTTTCTGAACTAAAGCCATTACAAGTTAACTTTGTGCCATATATAATAGAATCAAATGGCTTTCTACAGAAAAAAAAAAAATCTCCGTCTGAATGAATATGTGGTGGGGTCCTTAGATCCTAGTGAGAAGGAGATGAATTGTGTCTCATATCTGGTTTATCACCATCTGCTTTTTTCCACTATTAGCCCAAATTACTTAGAATCAAAGCCATAGCAAAGTGGAGAGCATCTCTATCTTAGTCTGTTTTCAGTCCCCTTCTTTATTGTTCTATGGTTCAAAGCAAGTGGTTCCCAAACTCTTGTCTCAGAAATCCTTTATACTCCTAAGAATTATTGAGCACCCAAAGAGCTGTGGTTAATATGGGTTTTATCTATCAATATTAACCATATTTGGATATTAAAACAGAAATCTTGAAGATATTTATCAACTCGTTTAAATATATCACTAATAAACCCATTGCATGTTGAAGTCAACATTTTGGTGACAATAGCTTTTTTTCAAAATTTAAAAATACTAGAAGAGTGGCCTGTTTTATATTTCTTTCAAATATCTTTTCTATTTACTTAATAAAAGATGACTAGATTCTCATTGGAGAGTGTATATCTGGCTCTGCATTTAATCTTTTGCATGATGTGTTTTTGCTTAAAATATATGGAGAAAATACAGCCTCATACAGATATGTAGTTGAAAAATGGAGGAGTATTTCAGTAGCCTTTTAAGCAAATTTGGGTATTCTTTGGTACTTCACCAAAACTCAACTAATGATAATTTTCCTGCAGTTAGTTGAAGTTTGGAATCTGAAAGCACATTTAACAAACATTGCTTATTCTGTTTCATAATAATATTCATTGGTGTATCCTGTGATTTGAATAGATCTTTAACCATGCATAAATGGTTAACATCATATTTTGGTTATTTGAAAAATATTAGTTCACTGATACATACCTTCCAAGTGATGACACATTTCATCATACATTATCAAAGCATCACATTTATTAATATCAACATGATGTTATCATGATAGTTTTTAAAAATTGTGAATTTGTCACACAGTAGTGGATATCAGTTTTTCAAAATTCTAATTTTCACTTGAAAGTTCCAGTTTTATCATTAGCAGCAAATATTGTCAGTTCATTTCTTTGAAATAATAATACCTCTTCAATAATTTTCAAGAAAATGTCTGCTAGATGTCCAGGTCTAAAGAAACATAATTCTTATGTCTGTCATTCTTTCCAAAAAAAGTGGTAATCCATGAAACAAGTGGCTAGTTCACAACTCAAACAGTGACACAAGTAATTTTTCTCAGAGCTTCCATTATATTTTCATCTGCTATAGAGATGCTTTATTTGTATTTTCCATTTTATCACACAGAATATTTTTAAAAGTCATATTCAAGGAATGAGACTTAACAAATTATTTTTACTTTTTCATAAAAGACACAATTAAGTGAAATAGATTTATGTACTTACTTATTTTATTTCTTTTTTTACTGTGTCTGGTGGTGAAGAAGATGGTGACTGCTTACTACAGTTTTATGCTACTAATTTATGTTAAAGCACCAGGCATTTTATTCAACATTGATTTTATACCACCAATGAAAATATCAATGCGGTAGAAAGACGAATAATGTATTTTTAAAAGTATTTTTATGAAAAAGAATTTTGAACTCAGACTCATTGAAAATGTGTTAGGAATCTCCAGGGATCTAGCTGTATATTGCATGACCAAATAAAGACACTTGACTTAGAGTGATAGAATGCTTTTCACTGAGCCATTTTAAAGTAGATTTTATTTTGTCTTTCTTCTTGGACAGTTAGACTTTAAATAACAGGTTTTGTGCTTATTGTGTAGAAGTTCACATTCTAGGCAGTTTGCGTCCAAATTTTGTTTCAATTTATGTGCTTCAACCCATCTCGAAACCAAAGTGAAATGAGCCAAAGTGTTAAGAGCATTTCATTTTTCCCTGAAATCATGATGTCTATGGTTTTGGTCTTTTCTTAGAAATCCTACTGGTTTGGTAAAGCTTTAAGCATTAAGAAGAAAGAAGATAATCAAATTATTGATATAACTAGAAGTGATTATTTTGAAGATGAACCTGTTGATTTGGTGGCTGGTATCAGTATTCAACATCTGTACAAGGTACTGTGTTTTTTTTTTAAGATTTTATAATTGAACATAATTAAAACAAAAAATTTTTTAAAAATTAAAAATAAAGATTTTATTTATTTATTTGAGAGAAAGAAAGAGAGAGAGAGAGCAAGAGACAGCACGAGCGGGGAGGAGAGGAGAGGGAGAAGCAGACTCTCCGAGGGGAGGGAGAGCCCGTTGTGGGGCTCTATCCCAGGACCCTGGGATCATGACTTGAGCCGAAGGCAGACGCTTAACGGACTGAGCCACTCAGGCACCCCATGTACAAGGTACTGTTTTATAAGTCTCTTTTTCCCAGTGCAGCTGAAAGTTAATTTATAGTGTATAGTAAATGTTTTCACTGGCCATGGCCCTAACCCCCACCATAAGATGTTAATAAAAGTTGTATTCAGCACATTAATTATTTAACAAAATGAAAATGAAAGATGTGCAAATAAAATAAAAATCCATTTGTTTCTTTCTCATTTCTTCAGAATGGAATCCAGTTTTGTATTATGATAATGGTGTCTTTTACATCTCTCCCACTATAAGAGCTAATGTCTAGCTGGAACTGTGATGATTTGATGTGTAAATATTAATTTATGTTTACAGTTGTGGTTTTACTTGTTCTACCAGTTATGCGTTAGACTATTTGGCTGAATTCTTCTTTGTCCAAACTTTTGGTGAGGAGGTGTTCCTGGGTATATTAGTTTATTTGGATCAATTAAGTGCCCCTATGTAGGCCTTTTAAAGTAATTACTGATAGAGGGGCACCTGGGTGACTCAGTTGGTTAAGCATCTGCCTTCGGCTCAGGTCGTGATCCCAGGTTCTTGGGATGAAGCCCCCCATCAGGCTCCCTGCTCAGCAGGGAGTCTGCTTCTCCCTCTCCCACTGCCCCTCCCTCCGCTCTTGTTCTCTCTGTGTGTGTCTCTCTCAAATAAATAAATTTTTAAAATCTTAAAAAAAAAAAAGTGGACTATTGATGTCTCCTACTGTTATTATTGTATTGCTGCCTACTTCTTCTTTCAGATATGTTGATATTTGCTTTATATATTTAGGTGGCTTGATGTTGGGCGCACATATAATTGCAATATCTCTGGTTGAATTGATCCTTCTATGTGTATATAATCACCCTCTTTGTTTTTTGTGACTGTTTTTGACTTAAAGTCTATTTTATCTGCTAGAAGTATAGCCACCTCTTCTTTCTTTTGGTTACCATTTGTATGGTATAATTTTTCTATCCCTTCACTTTCAGCCCATGTGTGTCCTTAAATATATGTGAATCTCTTATAGATGGCATTTAGTTGGGTCTTTTTTTTTTTTTTTAAATCCATTCAGTCATTCCAGGTCTTTTGATTGGTGAGTTCAGTCCATTTACATTTAAAGTAACTATTGATAAGTCAGGTTTTACTACTGCCACTTTGTTGTTTTCTGACTGTTTTATGGTTCCCTTGTCCTCTCTTCTTTTGCTGTCTGCTTTTTTTTTGGTTTGATGATTTTTTTCGTAGTGATATGCTTTGTTTTTTCTCTTTTCTTTTATGTGCCTATTTTAAGTTTTTCTTTGTTGTTACCATGAAGCTGCACTGAACCTTATAATTATGACATCTATTTGAAGCTGATAACACCTTAACCTTTATTGTATCCAACAGTTCTACACTTTTATTCCTTCCCCACACTTTGTTATTAATGTCAGTGTTTACTTCTTTCTGTGTTGTGTATCCATTAACAAATTTTGCAATTATAGTTACTCTTAATCATTTTGTGTTTTTCACTTTTATACTGTTTAAAAGTGATTATGTACCGCTGTTACAGTATTATTATATTTTGTGTTTGTCTGTATATTTACCTTTACCAATGATATTTGCATTTTCCTATGCTTTCTTGTTGCTTTTTAACATTGATTCATCCCAACGTGAAGAATTTCCTTTATCGCCTCTTGTAAGGAAAGCCTAGTGGTGGTGAACTTGCTCAGCTTTTGTTTAACAGAGAAAGTCTTTACCTCTCCTTTATTTTTGAAGGACAGATTTGCTAAGTAGAGTATTGTTGGTTTGTAGTTTTTTCCTTGAGTACTTTGAATATATATCATCCTATTGTCTCCTGGCCTGCAGGATTTCTTATCAGAAATCCACTGATAGTCTTATGTGGGTTCTCTTGTATATGAGGACTTAGTTTTTTTTGGAGCTTTGAAAATTCTCTTTGTCTTTGACTTTTGACAATGTAATTTTTTTTTTTTTTGATGTCTGATCTTATTTATTTGTCACTCTTAGAAAATCTCATTTTTGACTGGACTCAGACTTAGAGGTAGAAGCTCTCAGAGAGGACAGCCTCTGTCTCTTGGCAATCTGTTCCTGGCGTTTTTCTTTGGCCTCCTTCATTCTCTTGGCCAAAAGTTTAGCATATTCTGCAGCCTCTTCCTTAATTTTCTCAGTGTGCTGCTTCTTCAAAGCAATACTCCGATGCTTGTGCTGCAGGACACGTGGAGTAACAAGATGCTGAATTTTAGGCACTTTGGTTCTAGGTTTCTTACCTTCTTTGTTTAGGGGCTTTCTCACAACATACTGGCAGACATCATCTTCTTTAGAGATTGAAAAGTTTGCGGATTCTGCTGGCTCTTTTGGGCCCCAGGCGAAGAGGCACAGTAGTATCAGTGAGTCCAGGAATATCCTTCTCAGCTTTTTTTACAATGACCAAGTTGAGAACACTGAGATTGACATCCACAGTGCAACCCCGAACAGATTTGCGCTTTCTCTCTCCAGTCCTCCTTGATCTATAGCAGGAATGCCCCTTACTCAGCAGCAGGCAGACACGGCCATGGGTCAAGACACCCTGCTTCATGAGGAAGCCTTGTTTGTCATTGCCACCACTGATTCGGACCACATAACCCTTCCATTCTTCACCCAGAGCATTAGCAGCAGCAGCAGCAGCCCCTCCAGCAATCCTGTGGGATTGCAGAGGCCAGGCAGCCCTCCAGAGCATCAGCAGCAACTTCTGTGGCCATACGCTTCTTATAAAAGGTACGAAGTTTACGTTCATTGTCCACTTCAGTGAGTTTCTGGCAGCCAGTATCTGGGAAAGAGATGTTCAGCTTCATCGTGAAACAGGCTACCGCCTCTGAGGTGCCATGAAAAAGAGCTGACAATGTAATTTTAATGTGTCTTTATGTAGACTTCTTTGGTTGCACCTATTTGGGCATTTTTAAGCTTTATGAATCTAGATGTTCATTTCTATCCCCAGAGCTGGGAAATTTTCAGCCAATTTTCTTCAAATAAACTTTCTAGCCCTTTCTCTATCTCTTCTACTTCCATGACTCTGTTAAGGAATATGTCGTTTCTTTTCATGGTGTCTTATATGTCCCATAGTATTTCTTCATTATTTTTCATTTGCTTTTTGCTTCTCTGACTGGATAATTTCAAATGACCTGTATTTGAGTTTACTAAGTCTTTCTTCAGCTTGATTGAGTCTGTTGTTGAAGCTTTCTATTGATTTTTTTTTTTTTTTTCAATTCAGTCATTGTATATTCTTCAGCTGTAGGATTTTTGTTTTTTCTTGGCTTCTCTCTTTGCTGAACTTCTCATTTGTTGATGTATTGTTTTTGTTTAGTTGTATATCTGGGTTCTCCTGTAGTCCACTAAGCTTCTTTCTTTTGTATGATTATTTTTGAATTTTTTGTCAGGCAATTCATAATCTCTATTTCTTTAAGCTTGGCTACTGGGGCTTTATTAGTGGTGTCATGTTTTCTTGATCTTTCATGATCCCTGTAACTTTGCCTTGGTATCTGCACATTTAAGAAGAAGTTATCTCGATTCTTTACAGACTGCCTTTGGCAAGAAAAGACATTTGCCAGTCAGCCTAGCCTGGGATTCTGGGTGGGCCAGTTTGTGGGGCCCATAGGCAGATGTGGCTTACTGTTGGGGCTCATGGGGTGTACCGTTGTATGAGAACTGCAGGGTCTGTGGTCAGGCAAGCCCCATTGCTGGTGGTCTGCAGCCTAGTGGGACTGTAGTCTGGTGGGGTTGGCTGGCGGGGCTTTCTGGCCATGGAGGGCTGCCTGGCCTCTGCAGTCTCATAGGATTGCTGGAAGGGGCTCTGTTGTTTGACAGGATTGGCTGGGGGGCCTCTGTTTGCAGGAGGATCTACCAGTGAGACTTTGTGGCTAGGCAGGGCTATCCAATGGGAACCGTGGAACTACCAGTGAGATCCAGCAGTGCCACCACCTGAGAGCCTTTACCCCTTCTCTTTGGTCCCAGCTCTTGCCTGGTGGTCTAGCTGTGTCAGTTCCCCTGGCATTCCATGTGAGGCAAGATAGAAGTGGGAAAGACAGAAACCTGGGGAAGGTGGACGTCTACCTCTTTCTCCCTTTCTGCCACTGGAGAAATTGTGGGCTGAAGGGATCCTTCTTTTTTTTTTTTTTTTT